GCCTGGTGATGGGTATTAAAGAGGGCACGTTCTGCATGGAGCACTGGGTGTTATACACAAACAATGAATCATGGAACACCACATCAAAAACTAATGATGTAATGTATTGCGATTAACATAACAATAAAAATTTTTTTAAAGTATCACACTTTGCTACTTATTTGTGTACTAAATGAAAGGAATGAACTACACAAGTCCTCTAAAACATATTCTCTGCTTTTCACGTGTGTATGACCCTGAAAAAAGTGTCCTACAACATGTCCTCATACTGGAAGCTGGACCAGCACCATCCTTCTTGCAATCATCTCAAAGATAAGAATGTGAAGAAGTAGGAAGATAAACATGGACAGAGGTGGGGTTAGATTTGATTAGAAATGAATCAGTCCATCCCACAGACAAAAGCACCCACACATTTTTAGCTATATAAAGGCCACTATCTCAATCCACCAGTCACCCTGCAAGCTGCATCAGGCTTTATCCTACGTGTTCCTTTGGTGAACCAGGTGAGAGAAAATTCATCCAGCTACATTGATGGATATTTGGTTGATTGTTGTCCACATTCGAAATTTAGGAGTAAAAGCTAAGTCAGAGTTAATATATATTTGGCTATTTCATTCTTGTTTCTTTTTCTTCTTTTTGTTTGTTTATTTGTTTGGTTAGTTTTATTTATTCTGGGGTCTTTTTAGAATAAGTTTGTTGTTGTCAAGATGAATAATGAAAGAAGTTCATCTTTTTCTAGGCCATTCCACACTCTCTTCCTAGTCTTTTGCATGCTATTTTTTTTTCTGGGTTGGCCAGCTGAAATTGAGAGGAGGCCAGCACTGGTGTAGAGTCCCTTCCCTGTTCAGTCAGTGCCTGGGGCTCCAAGATCGAGTCATCCACTAGTCAAACTACTGCCTGCATTGCTGAGCCCTTCTCCCTGGTTATTGAAAAAGAATAAGATTAGAGTGTTTGGTTGAACCTGAGATTAGGATAGTTCCTTAGCTCTGCTGTGGGCTATCTCATGCTTCTGAAGCACCAAGGTAATGGGTAACTTGCCCATTGTTTATTTGCTGAAGGCCTTAACAATCCTGTTTAGCTTCTGGTGCCCAGAGGAGAAAAAGGTATGATAGAAGGTCTGTCACTTTTGTCTCAAAAGAACCAGTGAAACTACCAGAGAGACTGGGACAATACATCTGCGTGGTTCTGGATACTTTGGAAGCTCCAGGACAACACTCAGAACACCAAAGTACACAAAGTATAGAGACATTATGTAAGGAATATATTCACCCAGGACATGGAGATATGAGCTCTAATCCTAGTTCAGTCAACAACATGCAATGACTTAGCAAAGTAACTCGAAATTAACAAAGTTTTCACTGTATTGAAAGATCCCTAACCCATCTTTACTTGTTGAAGTATTTTAGGTTTAAAAGAGACAAGAGATTTGAAAAACCATCATGATTATTATTAAAATCAGAATTGCTTATAAATTAAAAGAAAAGAACAAGAATAATAGGGTCTTTTGTTTCTTTTTTCTTCAGGTTCACTTAAACTTGCAAAAAGATGACTGACCTCTTGAGGAGTGTTGTCACGGTCATTGATGTTTTCTACAAATACACCAAACAAGATGGGGAATGTGGCACACTGAGCAAAGATGAACTAAAGGAACTTCTGGAGAAAGAGTTTCGTCCAATTCTGAAGGTGAGAACTCATACACCAGGATTGAAGGCTGTTAGGGTCTTGTAAATTCTCTGTTATGTGACCAAAGATTAGCTAAAAAGTGCACAGTCTCAATGGTCTTTGGGCAAACTCTATGAGTGTACTTTTGGGGGACATCAGAAAGTCTGCTGGGGCATTATTTATTTTTAGAAAGGTGAATGTTTTTTCAGTTTCCTGTGTACACCCACCATGTAGACCTTAAGACTTTTTCATACCCCCAGGTTTCCCCTTCTGAAAAAACAGAATATAAATATGTGCTAAAACATGAGTTAACAGATTGCCCTATCAAATTTGGAAGAAAAAGTATAGAGAGGTAAATGCCTACAAGGAGAGCTGACCAAGTAGCCAGGATGACTAAAAACTGCAAACAAAAAAACAAGCATTTCTTCCATCTACTTGGGAAGGACTCAGCTATTACCTTTAAAATTATAAATCCTAACATAGAATATATTAGCATGTAATGTTTAAAATGTATGTAAAACTAAAATATACCAGGTACTGAAGTTGATTTATTCAACTCCTTCCTGTACGCTATACCTGAGTACCTAGTCCCCTAGCTTAGGTCCTTGAACTGTATTCTGCTGGGGTTCCCAACAGATTTTATTCTTTTCTATTATCTCTTTTCAGCTGCTGGGTCCTATTAGGCTGCTTTAGCTTAAAGTAACCCTTGATTAGATTTAAAATACCTAATGTTAAACATCCACAATTCCACAGCTCTACCTGAATATTTTACCTGCCTATGTAAGCTAGGCTGACTAGGTCTCCTTTGGTATGTCACTTGTATACAGAAGCCAGATGATCCAGATACAGTGGATGTTATCATGCACATGCTAGATCGAGATCATGACCGAAGACTGGACTTTACTGAATTTCTTCTGATGGTATTCAAGTTGGCTATGGCTTGCAACAAGGTTCTCAGCAAAGAATACTGCAAAGCTTCAGGGTCAAAGAAGCATAGGCATGGTCATCGACACCAAAAGGAAGAAAGTGAAACAGAAGAGGAAGAAGAAGACACAACGGGACAGAAATCAGGTTACAGACATTCAAGTTGGAGTGAGGGAGAGGAGTATGGTTATGGTTCGGAGGGCTTAAGGGGAAGTATGAAACATAGACATGGGTCAAACTCCAGGAGGCTGGGAAAGCAAGGTGGATTATCTAGCTCAGGAAACCAAGAGCAATTTGAGAAAAGACACCATGGGTCTAGCTCTGGTCACTCATGGAGTAGTGGCAAAGAAAGACATGGTTCCAGCTCTGGAGAGCTGGGGGAAAGAAGAAACAAGTCACGTGTTAGCCCCTCCAGGGAATCTGAGAAGGAATATGAATCTGGATCTGGATCAAAGAGTAGGAGAAGGAAAGGTCGTGGTGATCTATCACATGGATTGGATGCTAGTGGAGATGAATCAAACTCTACTCAGTCAAGAAATAGTGGAGGACAAAAGCTTGGATCTAGCTCTAGAGGTTCAGGAGACAATGGAAGGCAAAGCTATGAATGTGGCTCCAGCAATTCAGGTGGGTGTGGAAGGCCACAAAATGCTTCTACTTCTTGTCAGGAAGGTAGATTTGGAGGGCAAGGAAATCAGTCTAGCTGTACCCAGTCAGGATATCAATCAGGAAGTAGTGGAGGACTAGGTCATGGATGTATTTCAGGAGGTCAGTCCTCTGGATATGGTCAACATGAGCCTAGATCCTGTAGCCAGTCTTCTAGTCAGAGAGAATATGGATCTAGAGCATGTGGTCAAACACAGAACTGTGGAAGACAACAGAGAACAGGTTCAAGTCAATCCTCTTGCTGTGAACAATATGGGTCTGTAACAAGTCAGTCTTCTAGTTATGGTCAGTATGGATCTGGTTCTTGTGGACACTTTTCAAACTCTCAGCAAAAAGGGTCTGGTTCAAATGAATTTGCTAAATGTGGACAACATGGGTTTGGCTCTGGGCAGTCCTCTGGCTTTGGCCAACATGGGTCAAGCTCAGGACAGTCCTCTGGCTTTGGACAACAGGGATCTGGCTCAGGACAGTCCTCTAGTTTTGGCCAACGTGGGTCAAGCTCAGGACAAGCCTCTGGCTTTGACCAGCATGGGTCTGGCTCAGGACAGTCCTCTGGCTTTGGACAACATGGATACAGCTCAGGTCAGTCCTCTAGCTTTGGACAACAGGGATCTGGCTCAGGTCAGTCCTCTGGTTTTGGTCAATGTGAGTCTGGCTCAGGACAGTCCTCTGGTTTTTATCAGCATGGGCTTGCCTCAGGACAGTCCTCCAGCTTTGGAGAGCATGGGTCTGGCCCAGGAGAGTCCTTTGGTTTTGGACAACATGGGTCTGGTGAACATCAATCTTCTAGCTCTGGACAATATAGATATGGCTCAGGTCAATCCTCCAGCTGTGGATATGGATCTAGCAAACATCAGTACCATAGCTTTGGGACTGGATCAGGTCATTCTCTGGGCTTTGGACAACATGAGTCTAGATCAGGTCAGTCTAGCTATGGCCAACATGGTTCCAGCTCAGAGCAATCCTCCAATATTGGCTCTGGGTCTTCCTCAGGCAGGACCTCCAAACACAGTCAATATGGATCTAACTCAAGCCAGTCTTCTGGTTATGATCAACATGAGTCAACCTCAGGTCACTCCTCTGGCTATGACAAATATGACTCTAGAATAGGAGAACAAGAAACCTATGGGACTAGTTCAGGAAAAGGGTATCCAAATTGTGGAAGGCTAATATCAGATTCAACCGACAGTCAAACAAGAGAAAGAGCTAAAGGGAGACAGGGAAGAACCCAAGGACAGTCAGGAGACAAAAGTAGACATGCCCAGTCTGGTCATGGACAAGCCACCAGGACAGAATCTTGTAGGACTACAAGAAGGCGATCTAGTGTCAGTGACTCCAGTGACACTGAAAGAGACTCAGGAGTCATGCAGGCACACGCAGGATCCCCTTATGGCCACTCTGGATTTCAACATGGAGAGTCAGAATCCACAGCCAAAGGGACACAGGGAACAACTCATGCACAGTCAGGAGACACCAGTAGAGATGCTCAGTCTGGGCACGGACAACCCACCAGGACAGAATCCTCTAGGACTGCAAGAAGGGGATCAAGTGTCAGTGAGTCTAGTGACACTGAAAGGCACTCAGGAGTCGCACAGACAGACACAGGATCCTCTCATGCCCACTCTGGATCTCAACATGAAGAGTCACAATCCACAGCTAAAGGGAGACAGGAAACTACCCATGGACAGTCAGGAGACACCAGACATGCTGGGTCTGGGCATGGACAAGCAACTAGGACCGAATCCAGTGGGGCTGCAAGAAGAGGATCTAGTGTCAGTGAGTCCAGTGACACTGAAAGGCACTCAGGAGTCGCACAGAAACATGCAGGATCCTCTCAAGACCAGTCTGGATCTCCACATGGAGAGTCAGGATCCACAGCTAAAAGGACACGGGAAAAAACTCAAGGACAGTCAGGAGACACCACTAGACATGCACAGTCTGGTCATGGACAAGCCACCAGGACAGAGACCAGCAGGGCTACAAGAAGGGGATCCAGTGTCAGTGAGTCCAGTGACACTGAAAGGCACTCAGGAGTCCCACAGACACACGCAGGATCCTCTCGAGGCCAGTCTGGATCTCAACATGGAGAGTCAGGATCCACAGCTAAAGAGAGACAGGGAACTACTCATGGACAGTCAGGAGACACTAGACATGCCTGGTCTGGGCATGGAGAAGACAACAGGACAGAATCCACTAGGACTGCAAGAAGGGGATCCAGTGTCAGTGAGTCTAGTGACACCGAAAAGCACTCAGGAGTCCCACAGACACATGCAGGATCGTCTCGAGGCCAGTCTGGATCTCAACATGGAGAGTCAGGATCCACAGCTAAAGGGACACAGGAAAAAACTCAAGGACAGTCAGGAGACACCACTAGACATGCCCAGTCTGGTCATGGACAAGCCACCAGAACAGAATCCAGTAGAACTACAAGAAGGGGATCCAGTGTCAGTGAGTCCAGTGACACTGAAAGGCACTCAGGAGTCCCACAGACACATGCAGGATCCTCTCATGCCCACTCTGGATC